AGTCCCCAGTCTGATATATACTACATTTTTGGTGGGCTGGGGATTTAGCTGACCAGCACAGCGCCTGCTTGGCAAGCGCAAGGTTGTGAGTTCGATTCCCGGTACCGGAAAAAAAAAAAAGAAAAAAAGGTATACTACATTTTTTTCTTAGATGTACTTGTGATGAAGTTTAATTTATAAATTACATATAGTGCGAGAGTCACAGTAATGATACAGTTGAGCATTTGTGACACCATGCTGTGATAAGGTTGCTAGCTTTGCTAGTCTTGTGGTTTGGGGTCATATTTACAATTATGGGCTATTACTAGATTGGGTCTGTGAGGCTCCTGAGGCTGAAATATCCTATACTTTTACTTTTTTAAACTGAAAATTACTTAATGTAATTTTTTTTATTTTAAAGAGAAGAGAACAAAAACACAATAACAAAAACAACATATCCTATGCTTTTAAAATAAGTTTGCAGAGCCGGGTGTGGCGGCGCATATCTGTAATCCCAGCACTTGGGAGGCTGAGGCAGGAGGATCATTGCAAGTTCGAGACCAGCCTGGGCTACAAAGAGAGCTCAAGGCCAGCCTGAACTGCGTAGGGAGACCCTGTCTCAAAAAGACAAAAAACAAATGAACAAACAAATAAATAAAAAAGTTTGCAGATTTGCTGACTGTCATCTCAGAAAAAGTTTTCAGGATGTGTCAGTAAAAGAAACATGAAAATGTTTATTAGAGATAGTGATGTAGGACGCACTCAAGAGCAGAGTGTGAGTGCTTAAAGAAATGAGAATACCTTACAAGCTGGAGTAGGGCCTAGGATGTGTATTCTCAGCCTACAGTGCAAGCCATCTATATGGCTTTGAAGTTAAGATATTCTGTCACCAGTGCAGCTGCTTCATGGGCTGAAGGGAAGGTCAATTTACAGGTGAAACGAACAGCCCTAATTTATGCTATATTTATATATACTATAATTAAAAGGGCCTTTAGGAATTTTTCTTTTTGAGTGAATTTCTTGAAAGGGAAAAGGCTTGTCTTAAAGCTGCAGTTTTTCTTAAATGTACAATTTTAAAACCTTGATTTTCCTGTCTTCTTTTTACTTTTTTAGTTCTTCTGTCCTACTTCAGGACCACTTGAACACAAACCTTTGCTACCTTGACAGTGGCTCTGGAGCCTGAGGGGTCAGCAGGAATCATTTACAGTGTGGGTGGACAGGATCAAGCGATGGTCCATATCCCAGGTGGTATGGAGCAGGACAACAGGAAAGTTTGTCACTTTACCCAGAATGAGACAAAATTTAAAATTTGTGAATTATTTATTTCTGTTGGTTTTTTTTGTTTTGTTTTGTTTTTTGAGATAGGGTCTTGCTATGTAGTTCAGGCTGACTATGTAGCCCTTGAATGGCTACATAGGCTAGGCTGGTCTTAAAGTCATAAGAATCCTCCTGCCTCAGCCTTCTGAGTGCTGAGATTACAGGCTTGTACTACCATGCCTGGCTTGAATTATTTATTTCTGAAAACTGGCAGTTCACTGTTGATAACTAGCCTGCACATCAGGGGCTACTATACTGTCCTGGGCAGTGCTGGGTGGGCTATCCAAATGTCCTTTCTCCTAGACTCCCTTTGTCCAGACGGCCCTGGTGTGGATCAATAACCATGTTGTCACTGGGGTCAGGTTTAGTTTACTGTTTGAAGTCCACAGAAATAACTACATTGCATAGAGCAGATCAGCTGAGTCATTGGGCGGGGGCATTATAAAAGGGCAGTGGTGAGTGGGCCATACCTGGAGCCACTGCCTTTCCCATAGATTCCACACCTGAGCTTCCTGCTGAGGTGTTCAAAGGGAAGAACACCAAGCTGGATCAGGGCAACAAAGTCATTCTGCCCAGAAAGGGAAAGTGGGGCTCTGACCTACCAGAGGGCCTGTGGCCACTTGTTGCTGAAACCAAGTGAGAAGAGCAGATTGGACTTTCAGGTGGAAGGTTGGTCACTCTATGCTTTTGTCTACCCAAAAAGCGTTACAAAAGTTGGTCTTGTTTCTAGTGCCTGTGCAGCTGGTACAGGTGTTGGTACAGGGCCTCTCTGTGCTGTGCATGAGGCTGGATCCTGGGAGTTGGCACAGTGGTAGTGATCAGATTGGATGTAGTCCCTGCCTTCCCCACTGAGATCTAATTATTAGAGTGCCATCAGCGTGCCATGTGTGAACTTCAGAGTGCCACCGCTGCCAGGGAGTAGCTGGGACATTCAAGGTTGGGTTTGCGGGAAATGGTTTCCAGAAAGTTGGCTGTGATGGGTTCTGAGAAGTCCTTGTGGGTTTGAGAGTGTGCTTGGGTTGCCTGTCTTGAAAGCTGTCATGTACTGCAGTCTGGGTGACCAGGACTCTGGGCAGGGAGCGGCTGGAAAGGAGCTGAGTCTGAGACCCTGGCGACTTGCCTGTGTACCGTGTGAGGGAGAGGAGGTGGTGAAGGGCCTCTTCCAGTGTTGTGGCTGTGTCTAGATGTCCTGCAAGGCCTCGTGCAGTGGGGTTTTTTCAGAGGTGGCTGAATCTAGAGTGTGTGATTGATTCACGGTGCAATGCTAGGATTAAGGGTGCTAGGAGTAAGGGTGGGTGATTACTAAATCAGTCCACTGGTTGGTTTGGCACCACTCTAACCCCAGTACCCTGGATACAGTATAAGGGGCAGAAAGAGGCTTGTCTTGTCCCTTGCTTGCTTTGCTGCCTTCTTTCTGCCATGGACTGTTTCTCCTCTGTGATGCCTGTCTGCCATGCCACCCTGCCTTGGAGCCAGTTATGATCTGCAACCTCTACAAACTGAGCTAAATACACCTTTCCTCCTTTAACTTTGGGTGTGAGGTATTCAGCAACAAGAAAAGTAACCAAGACGGCCAGGAACAGTAGTTTTCCAGAATATTTCCCACTGTACTGAAAGACTTGTGTGCACATTGATGCCCTGTCTGGACCCTGGGTGCCTCTATTTCTGGTCCTTTGTGGGCCCTCATTTTCCAGGAACAGCCCCCAACGCCCAGTTCTTATTTTAAAGGGCAGCTGTGGCAGCATCAAGCCCAGGGCTCTGCATATCCTAGCAAGATCCTGAGCACCCATCCTGCCTGAATGTGGGCTGACGGTGGTTTCCTAGCAGGGGCTTCCTCAAGTTTTGGACATCCATCATGGTCAGGCTGGTGTTGGGCCCTCCTGGTCAACTCTGTGATCTCCCCTCCAGTGAGGTCCTGACCTGCCTTGGGGAAGCTCCTTTTCCTCATGCAGAGTCTCTGGACTTGAACATGCTGGGGGGACTTCCCTGAGAAAATAGAGGAGGGGAACCAGACCAGAATCTGGGTATTGATCCTCAGAGATCACATTCTTCTTTCTTTCCTAAGAAAAAAGGCACAGAACCAGAGAAATGAGGATTTAAGCACAGCTGAATATCTAGGAAATGCAGTAAGCGATTTGGTTGCAACACAGGTTGATGTCCATCCTTGGGGCCCAGGGTGGCAAAGGGCAGCAGAGGAGAGGTAGCAACAGGAGATGGGTTTGTCTTGGAGGTGGTGAACTTATGCTCCAATTCGCTAGGGTTGTGGTTGCACATAATTGTACTTTGGGACAGGTAAATTATTGCCCAGCCCAGTGTGGCAGCAGTTTGCATGGCTTACTAGGGCCATAGATGGTTTTGTGTCTTGTTCTGTTGTGCCATAGCAAAGTGTGGGCATATGAGCAAGGGCAGGAGGTTTTTTTGAGACAGGGTTTTGCTCTGCAGTTCAGGCTGGACTTGAACTGACTATACAGCCCAGGGTGGCCTAGAACTCATGGTGATCCTCAGCCTCCTGCTGGGATTACAGGCATGCACCACCATTCCCCTGTGTGAAAGTTTTTAAAGACAAAGCAAAGAGGATTACATCAGTTATTTTCAAATGGTAATCCTTGGCCAGGGTGATTCATGGCACCAGCTGAAGTTTGAATGGAGTTGTGGGGCAGGAGTCTTTGCAGATGGGCTTTGTGGAGCTCACAGTGGCTCTGCCAGCTCTGGTCCTGGCAGTCTTTTGTGATAGCTGCTGTGAAGTAATCGTGTGGAAGAATCCTGCTTTCATAATCTCCCAGTTTTATTTTTTTTGGCAGGGTTGACACAAATGACTGCATTTTTTATTCTGGCAACTTTCATCTTTTCTTTTTTCTTTTTTTCTTTTCTTTTTTTTCTTTTTGAGACAGAGTCTTGCTGTGTGGTCCAGGCTGGCCTTGAATTCTGTGTAGTCCAGGCTGGCCGCAAACTCACAGCACTTACAGCAATGCTCTTGCCTCAGCCCCCCAAGTGCTGGGATTACATGTGTACACCACCACTCCTGGCTTTTTCTTTTCTTCTTTTCCTTTTTATCCTTTCTTGTTCTTCTTCTCCTTCTCCTTCTCCTCCTCCTTTTCCTCCCCCTTCCCTCCTCCTCCCCCTCCCCCTCTTCCTTCTTCTTCTTC